TCAGGAGAAAGCATAAGCATGAAAGACTTACTACAGGATAGAAAGAGATTACAGGGATCAAAGGAAAAATGTTCTGCAAGGACAACCTTGAAAATTACCATGTATGACAAATGAAGAAAATAGATTAGTAGATTCACAACATGAAATTCATTCACCCATTTAAAAATCAGGAAAGAGGCATTCACTTGCAATTTTCTTGCAAAAATACTTCTTTTGTTGTGTATCTCGATATACCTCAGTTGTGGCTGGGCTGAATGGAACACGGCAGCCTCAGTTTTCCTGAAGTACTTTCCCTTTGGTAAGATCATATTGCCTTAGTGCTTTTGCTCGTGTTCAAGAGGAAGCAGAGGTTATGCTAGTTCTTTTAATAAATTAAAGGTTTTTGATTTCTTTTCCCTAATTACTTTCAACCTTCAGAACACTTCAGTCTAAGGTATCTGCTCTGTGGATTATGGCAATGATGAACTCAGGCTTTTTTTCCTTGGGAATTAGGGTAAACTACAGCAGATTGTGCACAGTATTTTAAATTTAAGCCTTCAGGAAATGACAAAGGTGATTCTTTGCTTCAAGCACTTTAGGAGAACGATTAATTTCAAGCTACGACATGGATCTAAATTTGCAGGGCTCACCCTGCAGCTACCACCTTTCATTTTACTTTGAATGAATTTTCTCTAAAACAGAAATTGTGGTGCATAAACATTCTTTGCTACTTCTCTCCACCGCTCCCTACTCCCTAGTTTTACCTTACTTATGTAATTGAGTATTTAGCTTTCTAAAATGGTAATAACTACCATGCAGGGAGCTCTGTGCATAACAGCATGGTCCACATTGTTGGTTTTTTTTTTTCACTGAAGCTTACGTGTACATTTTAAATCCTGAGGAAAAAAGCTTCTGCTTCAACCAAAACACCTGTTACAGTTTCTCCTTATCTAGAGTGTAACCACTTATTTATTAAAGTGTTGTAGAAAAATCATCCCAGTGGAAGGATTTCCGCAAGTATTCCTCTCAAAACTGACAACTACCACACATAATAAACTGTCCTTGCAGGGAAGTTGTCACTGTAAAAGCACTATACAATGCATCAAAAATAGAAAAGAAAATACTAAGATGTGCCAGGCTACATTTAGCCTGCTGAATATATGAGTTCCTCATCTATAATGACTTTGCAATGTGCTGTAAAAGGGTCATGAAGTTACTGTACAAATGAACATAATCTTTAATCAAAAGACTGCTAATTTATTTCAAGGAGAACTTATTTTCCTTGAATTAAAATGCAAGCCCACCCTTTCCAAAACTAAGAATCCTCTGAACAACAACAACAACAACAATAATAATAATTATTATTATTATTATTTCTTTTTTATAAAAGCACTAAGCACCTTGATAACGTGTATAATACCCAAAGATGCTGCTAGTGTCAATCTAAAGAAAAGTCTTCTGGATTTCTAATACCTTACAGACTCTTCAGACAGTGCTCCAGAAAGCCTCTTACCATTATTTCCTTGATGATGTAATATACCTCATTTATCCCTTCAGAGTTATAAGGCTTCAAAGAATAATACCTCTAAGTAATGACCCCAGGTCACTAGAACAGTCAAAGCTGGCAACATTCATGTTACTTTAATCTTCTAATTTCTTTAAAAAATAAAAAAACTTAAAAATTTCTTAAAAAAAAATTCTTAAAAAAAAGAGATATGTCAAAGTTTTTCCATCAAGCTGAAATGTTAACTTTGTATGTCTTAGTTGCTTCTTTCATTATAAGCTTATTATTTTATATTAACCATGAATTGTTTATTAAACTGCCTTCAAGTCCCAGATTTTTCTCTGGCAATGTTAAATTAAAAAAATAAATCTTATATGGAAGTAACTGCAGACTCAACATCTATCTGACTGAGGACAAAGAATTTTTTTAGGAGAAAGTTTTGTCAAGCATTAATATCTAACGAGTCGAAACACTTGACATAAAACACCCAGATTTGTATCAAACATGGCTCTCCTTACTGGCCACTCTGCAACATGGTACCCTACTACTAGATTCACAATTCTCTTGAGGACCTCTTGGCTGCCAAATTTGTGGTCTCAATTTCTTTTCTTTTATTCTTATCCAACTCTGACACAGACCAAAATATATTCAAACTGCACAGATTCTAAAGTGGGTTTGTAACAAAGAAAACTACAGAATTTTTAATACCTTCAAATTTTTTTCCATTAATTATTCCTATATTTACTTATGGGTGTCATGACCAGAAGCCATTCTCTCTCATCTATTTGCAGAAGACTACACTGTCCCTTCCTGATCTTTTGGTTTTGCAGACTTCATTATTAGTGAAGGAAAACTCATTCTCACTAATATTATGCTGATTTTTTTTGTTTTAATTCAAATCAGTAAAGCAAATCTCTGAAAATTAATTTATAGCAGAGTAAGATTAAATTTTAATCCAGTGTTTATGACAATTACTAATGCGATAAAAAAGAAAAGTAAATGTAAAAACATCTTTTCTTTCTCACACACAGATTATTTCCTCTGGTGAGAAGCTGATGAAGATAAAGTAAGTGAAGAAGAGAGGTTTTGTTAAAAACAAGTCAGGTATTACGTTAGAAAGTCATGTTAGTCAGCAAGTTAGTTCTCTTGAAAATAACAGCACTGCTCTTAAAACTTTCTTAATATGTCTTATACCAGAAGATTCTTTTGAATGTTTACTTAGATTCAACTATACTCTCACTTCATGGGACTAACCATAATAATATCGAGTGACAATTTTGAATCAGGAAGCATAAAGAAATGCACAGCACAGCTAAAGAATTAAATGAGGCAAGTGCTACACGGCCACAATTTTACATTTCATTGTCTAAAATGTTAGAATGTATGTTTTACTTTTGGCCATTACAGAGCTGACCTGGTAGATCATGTTGTCTAAACAACCACTGCAACAAAGTCAAGTGCAGTTATAGCTCTTGAAAGAGAAACCTTACAGTAAAAAAACAAATAAATAAGAAACATCTCTGAGTGGAAGGCTCTGCCCTGAAAAACTAATATCCACAAACAAACTGCCTGTAGTCCAAAATATTTTTAACTGCTAAATCAAATTCACATCTGACACCATATATAAGCTATCAGTTGGCACATTAGCTGTGAAGGACTTACGTATTATAACTGAATAAGTATTCCTATAACTGTCAAAGTTGTCAGCACTCTATTCAGCATTAAAAAAAAATGTAATTAACTAGTGCTACATGACAACATCAAGAGCAAGACATTTAGAGGAGAATTAATCACAGCAGTCTCCAATAACTCAGTGCTACTCACCATCACAAATACACCACTAGATACCCCAACACTTTCAACAAACACCTTGAGCTGAAGAAGTCTGTCCTTTTGAAAAATCTGAACTTCTTCCTCAGAAAAGCACTAACATCTCAGCATATTTAAGACCTTGTCTGAAAAAATATATGCATCAGTATTAAACTTCTAATACCATACTGTCTTGCGACAACTTCAAAGGCAGTATCAACAACAGAAACTCTGTCAGTATAGTCCACCCTGAGACACTACATCAACTTAATCCACCACTCTCCTACCCCGGGACATTTTACATGCTCCTCAGATCCATAAATGTAATAATTGCATCCAGCTACAGGACTCTTTCACCAAAAATCTTCAGAATTCATCAAAACTCTCCTCATGTTCCATGAACTGTAAAATTGCTGTCTTTATTTACTGTAACAAACAACTACTTTATTGCTTTCCCTTCTATTCTACACTACCACTACCAGTTCTTGTTCTGGCTAGTCTAAATGATTTGTACCTAACTAAATCCCAAGCAATTGTTCTCAGCTTGACTTTAGCTTTGAAGTCAGCTGCTTGTCTTCTTGTTGTAAAGATGAGTTTGAGTGCCTGAAGGCTTATCAGTATAGTAAAATTACAGTCTTGAAAACTGACATCACTTGACACCTTTACAGTCAGAAGAAGTAAACAACCCATATACAAAGTAATATTCTATTTACAATAGAAAAAAAATAAGAAGACATATAATAATAGCTTAGCATCAAACCCCAACTTTTTGTGTAATTCCATTTAGCACTGGCTAGGGAAATGGGGTCTGTTTCCAAAAAGTTGACTTTTAAACTTCTGTGATATGCTATCTTATTTCAAATTCTAAAGGTCTTTTTTGTTGCTGTTGTTGTTGCTCTGGACATTAAAAAAAATACAGTAATATCAAATTCCAACACCCAAAAGAAATGTATCTTGTTTAAAACTCTTCAGATTGTAACATTCAAGAATGCCACCAAGAAATCAGTGAATTTACAGGGTGTGCCCCCAGATATTTCCAGCATCAGAAAGTACATAATTCAACTTTTGGAAAGTAATGTAACTGCTATTATAACATATTTAAATTGTAATTCCTACAGTTGTTAAAAGCAATTCTGGGAATGTCCCTCCCAAATTATGTTAAGTGATGCACAATTACCCTCACAGAAGCACCTCTCTGAAAAGTAACTCTAAAAACATGTCTGGTTCATTACTGGTTTAGGTTTCCAATTTCTCTAACTCTATTTTGTACCTATTCTAAAAGTACATTTTTATTAAGAGAGATAATGGCATGCCAGAAGAAGAAACAAACGTAACATCTTTTCTCTTTTATCAGTACAAAAAAAAGTCACCGTAACAGTCTACAACATAAATACCACTATCTGAGCTGGTCATTTTTGGCTCCTTTAGAAATCAGAGGACAAAACCATGCATATGTGACACATGATTCATCTCATTTTAATATATGTACCTGAAAAGTTTGCAGGAATTTTATTCTGCGTGTGCCAACTTCTCTCCATACACATAGTGTAGACGAAGATAAATCAACCAGGTAGCTATGCACTGCAAATATCAACTAGGTGCAGTGACGAAAGATGTCACAAGAAAACCTAACAAAACATTAGGATGACATTCAAAATAAGAAATAAAATACACAAAGCAGATCCATGGAAGGGTAAAATATACTGACTTGATTTTGCTTTTTCTGCTCTTGCATGGCTTCCTGAACAGCCTGTGCAATCTTCTCTTTATCTTTGTCACGTCCTGCTTCCCACATTTTTCTTTCTTCTGCATGAATCTTCTCCATATTTCTCCTCTCCTCCTCTACTGCTTTCAGAATAGCCGCCTGCACTACTTCTTTTTCAGCCTTTGAAATAAATCAAGCACAAATAAATGACCAAAGTACCCAGCATGGGTGCCTAACTCATATATATTACTTATTCTAATGAGATATCTCTGACAAAAGATGGTAGATCGATATTTTCACATCTGAAGTATGAGCTTAAATTTACCTTGAGGTACTACCAGACAGGTATTACCAGTGGACAATGACTGTAGTTACAGAAAGACAAACAAAATTACAAGTAAGAATCTTAAATTCCCACCTACTGAAAATACAATATATCATAACTGGTTTGGTTAATGCTAACACAAAAACATGCAGCAGAAACCCTGTAAGAGCAGGTACATAATGGGCCCCCCAACACTGCCTAATATTACCATGTACAAGATATTCCTACTCTTATCTAGAAGCACATAAGTCCAAAACCAGAGTATTTTCTGTGGCAAAGTAACCAATACATACATAAAGCAAATGCGTCTTCCCTCCCAAAGCTCTATAAGAAGTACTCTTTTGAGCAAACTCATCTAGTGGAAGGTGTCCCTCCGTTTCATTACATAACATCTACATATAAATAATGGCTGAAGTACAAAATAAACAAGCAACTGCTGATAAACCACTGCCCCCAGTTTTAGTAAAATTACAGGTCATTCCAATGCCCTTTGGTGGTGATTATGGATCTCGTCAAGTAAAGTTATGAACACCAAAAAAAATACTGGGTTCCTCAAGCACTACATTTGTAAATAAAGCTGTTTGATGCAATTCACCGGGATGTGATCTTTTATTTAGATATTTATAAAATATAATAAAAGCATAACTTAAAAATGCCCTGTTAAATGATATTTTATTATACACACATTTTCCTGTAGAAATCAACCATATAATAGACGTTTCTTGTGTTACTGAATGTTACTCAGAGAGGTGGTGAGCTAATGTGCATATACTACATATGAAGACGTACAGGAAATGATAATATAGCCTAACCAACTATGATAAGCAACATACATCCCTAGATTTCCCAGATCATTACATGGAACTGAACTTTTGTACTGGATTCTACGGCAGTATTAGAAATGAAAGGTAGCTTAACATTTACAAAATTACTGTCCAAGCCCCAATGCATTTAATCATAATACAGGCAGAAAAATCATTTTAAAAAGTGAATACTTTAAGTCAAACATTAACTTAAATAAATCTAAAACCTGTTAAATGTTCAAATTTGTAAACGATTTACAAGATAGTTCTGTCCTCATTGAAGATTACCATATTTAACAAAAGTTAAATAGGACACAATGCTAACTGTCTTATTAAGATCACCAGTTGACCCTGCTACCTAGCTCTTCAAATCAAGATGTACTGATGTTAACTGGGAGACCAAAAAAACAGGCAGGTAACACAAAATCTGCAATATTGTGACTTCTTGTTATAAACTAATTCAGAGGTTATCTTAAGATAGAAGTTACACAGACTGCCTGTACTGAGGCACAGGATACAGCAGATATGTGCATGATTTACAGAACTAGCTTCTTTCAAACAGATGAGAATATAGAGTTTGACAAATTTAGTTATGAAAAGGAATGAGTTGCTGAACTTGGCATTTATGACACACATGGAATCCACATTGAACGTCTATTACTTAACAAAAGATACCTTTACAGCAGCTGCCAGAGCCTCCTTACTTCTTTGTCTTTCTTCATCCAAACATTTGTCAAGTACTTCCTGTAAATGTAATGAAAAATTAAACTGCAATACACAATAGAGGAGCAGCAAAACGTATTTTAAACACTCAAAAAGCTTGAGAAAGCTTCTTCTTCCTGTCAGTAATTGTGACAGTATCATGCTCAATGAACCCGCTGGTGCTGACCAGACACCCCCCCCCCCCCCCCTTTTTTTTTTAGGTAAATAAAAAAACCAAACACAATACCTTGTGTTTTTGTGACTGCTGCATCAAAGCTTCTTCTATCTTTTCTGATAATACTTCCTTCTCTGCTTCCAAAATGTCGAGAAGTCGCTGATGCTATTGGGAGAAAACATTCATATTATTGTAGCCATGGCCGGCTAGCAAAACAGACAAAAATCCCCTCATCTGAGACACTTTGTTCACTATTTACAAAATGACTTAAAATGTAAGTAAATGGCATATATAGCACCCATTTAGTCGATTTCATGTTTAAAAAAAAAATAGTGCAATAAGAAATGTTTAGCTCCCTGATTATCTAATATTTCTTCTCAGTATGAAGAGTATCAGGGAGGTAGTTGAAAAAAAAGTTATATAAAAGCAACACTTGTAAAATTTACAAAGATGGTTTAAGCAACAACACACTTCAAATGTTTCATTTTAAAAGCTGCAGAGTTTAAATAATGCTTGTACTATCTCTCAGTTATACATATAGAGGGCAAAATCAAAATGTATTTTTTCCAACTCTTTGTGATACTACGAATTTTGAAAGTGAAGAAAAGGGAGCAAAACCGAATGCTGCTTTTTTCTAATTTTCTTGTAATCCAAATAATTTTTTTTAGGGAGAAAACGAACACTGAAGTGGCCATGTAATCTATACATAGACATATAATCTGTTGCTGTTCTTAGTTACATCCCATGTATCACTTTTCAGTAAGCCAATTAAAGCATTTGAAAGATGTGGGTTTTGCCTGTAAGAGCTAAGCTGTTTTCCAAAACTAAACATTATTACTGGAAATTATTGATATTGGGTATTTGTCATGAAATAACTGCAAGCAAGTCAGTACATTTTTTACATGTTATTTAAGAGATTATACAGTCTAAGCTTAAAGTATATAATCAATACATAGTATTTCACAAGATCACCAAAAAGAAAGCTTAACAGTACAGTTTTATACTAATAAAAGTGTATATAACGAACATAAAATTTTTACACAAACACTTATGTAGGCAAATACCCCTTTTCACCAGCATTTCTAAGAAACGGTCATCTCTGCTTCATGAATTTTATTATGTTTTAATTATAAGTGTCTCTAATGGCAGCTAGAAATACATTACCAAACTGAAATAGTATGTTCTGAAAAATATTTTTTCATTTGAAGAATAGAAAACTTCTAGACTGCTTTATAAAATAAAACACCTATCTGCCCTTCCAGGATAAACATGCAAAGAGGCATTTCCTAGTGAATTTACTTAAAATAGGTTTGAATGGAGCAGACATATTCTAATGGAAAACGCCTGTGGAAGGAGTGGTGAAATTCACATCATGGTTATACTTAATGATGTGTAACTAACTTTTCTTGTGGACTCAGTGTTTTCAGATGTTAGCTTTAACTATCAGGGCACTTAGAGAAATTATTTTTCCCCAGTAACTCAAAGATAAAACAACAAATGGATTTTGTTAATTATCTCTATGACTCCTCACTTGGCTGACTGTACAGACTACAAATCTGTTATTTCACTTCAATTTAAATGAATGACACAATAGAAGACAAACATGCAAATATTTTATCAGACATATGTCACAAATCTGCAGTCTACTAATGTCAGTTAAAAGACTGAAACTTTATCTGCTTTAGTCCCGAATCATCAAGGGACTTTCTAAGGAGAGCTTTTTAAAGGAAATCACCTCTATCTTTAAACCACCTACAACAGAATGGCAGTGAAGTTGTTCAGTAAGATTGGAATTTCTAGTGTAAAACTTGCAGGTAGTTAACTCCAATGTGACCAACAGATTTCTAGGTTACATGTGAAGACTGTGCATGCATGTTTCAAGTTGCCACCATGGGCCAGCTACCAGATATATTTTACAGCATTCTCTATGGGACTAAAATTTTCAGCTTTTAAAATTCAGGACAGTTTAAGAAATTTTCTTTTACATATATGTATAAGATGACATTCAAGGCCATCCTCGAAGTCCTGAAATAATGCAGACATGTGCATTAATCCAATACAGAACACGTATACATGATCAGTGAGAACAACTAACATCTAGTCTCCCTGCAGATGAAATAATTTCATGACTATAGCCTTCTGCATGACCCTAACCATACTACATAGTGGTTTTGTACCTCCTTCACTGCAAAAAAGAGTGCACAACTAAATCCAGAGATCAACTCCTTGTACAAAACAAGAAAATGTTACTCCAGGTGGTTGTTACTGCAATAAGGAGTTTAACTGCGCTTGGACCTCAGTAGTATAGACAGTAGTATAAGATGAATCAGTTTGCTGCTTCTGGAAGCAGAAAGGAAAATATTCAAAACACAATACACTTGTAATTACCATAAAAAATGAAGTCTGCTTTGCTATTTGAAGGATGATTACTTTGATTAAGTTTAGAATCTCCCATTTCCTTGGTACATTAAAAAAATCTATATGGAATTACATTTTGAGCTTTATGGAATCCACAGAAATTTGGTAAGAACTGTATTAAGAATTGTATCTGGGTATAAAAACACACTAGTTCCTATTTGTCAAGATATTAGAGGTAACTATTTGTGAGCACGTTTAGAATGCTTTCAAAATGAAAGCTAATGACTTCTGGCATATTTCAATGCACCTTCTTATACATTATATAGCATCCTCATTTCTCATAGAAACATAACATTTATAATTTCAAGATCGTAAACCTCTTGTGAATAGCTTGGCATGTCCTTTCCTATTAAAATGTAAATGTTTATCCATGTGGAATAATCCTTCCATAAATGGTTACCTTCATATCTGGATTTTCAAAAGTTCATGTATCATCACAAATGTTGCAACAGCTATTCATACAACCCACTAAAACCAGTTGTCTTGTACTAGTCTTAGAGGAATACCTTTTAGAACTGTTTATTCGGTTTCAGATTTGTATTTGACCAATTTTTCTTTTTCAGAGAGAGAATGTCCCTTAAGCTGCTAAATTACATAATTTAGAAATAAGTAACTGGATAAAGACAAAGCAGATCATATGAACTGCTTCTCCCCAAAACAGGCTGTGTTCCCAGAAAGCCCAGACTGCAGTTAGCATAGACACAAACACACACACACACACACAAAGACCAACCAAAAAACCCCAAACTGCCATTCTGTATGTAATTAATAAGCAATTGAATTATTTATCACAAACTTTCAGTTTCTCCAACATACTGTGCCCCACGGTACAGAGCCATGGAATCTCCTTGAAAGCTGTGTTTCTTAAAGTCATGTAAAATGAGCTCAGTGGTATTATGAATTCATTTTATAGAACAGAATGCACCACCTTCTCATCTGAATTTTACAGAAACACAAATCTTTCAAAGGCACACTCAGATATCGACATTATGCATAACACTTGAGCAGAAAATCTAGTTGTGGGATGTTATGGATAGTAAGGGTTTCTCTGCATTCCCTTTTCTGACAGCAATCAAGGAAACAGACTTTGAAAAAAAAGCAGTTAATTCAAAGGAAATGATTAAGGATTGTATGACTAGAATTCCAAGCTGTTAATTTAAATGTCTCTGTACAGCAAGCTATTGTAAGTCCTCTGGAACTAGTCTTTAAATTAGGGCAACTAATTTTGTATTCAGACTTAAAATCCATATACCTTCTAAGTAAAAACTATCATATAAAAGCATTAGGTAACATAAATTTTCCAGATGTATGCAGAATGACTTTGGACTCTAGTACTAAACAGCCATGATGAACTTTACATACAGTCAGTGCTTCTTCAGTTGGCCTTTCAGATTAAGTCAATAAAGGGAGTTAAGTTTAAAAGCATATAAAAGGTGACAGCCTCACTTTTAGCACCTCTATATTTGAGAGCTTTCAAGAGCTCTTGAATTTTTACCCAACAGGAAATAACAGGATTATTTAGGTTCATTTACTTGGCTTGTAGATTTGTGTTCAACTATAGTAAAAGTCTATTAACAATACAGACAATTGTTGAATTAGAAGATCATATGTGCTGAGATAAATGCCTACAACTAGGCAAACGTAGCTCATAACCCATCCCCTTCTCAACAGGAATAAAAGCTATAGAAAGCATGAGTTGAATGAGTCTCTTTCAGCATTTCCAGTTTCCACAGATAAGAATTATGAATGCATTTCTCTCTCTTTAGACAGTATTGAAGGATTAAAGGAAGAACACTGAGACTGAAGGCACCCCTTTGAGCTACCTATATACCAGATTTTGATTCCCATTTGCTGTAGAGGACAGTTTCTCTTAGCCCTATCTGGACATGAAAGCTGGAAGTCTGATAACTGTACCTGTCGAGATGATATTGTCCATGCTTTAAAGGAGAGATCAGCCTTCTGTAAGCAGGCTAATGAGTTCATCAGACCTAACAGTCCTATGAAAAAAAATCAAGTCTATTTCAATTTTCCTGTGAAAATTATGATAAAGACCCACTTAGATTTGGGAAAAAATATCTAACCCATGTAGACTAAAAGACAGTGTCTATGAAGTTTTTAAACAAAAGTTGAAAAGTTGGAGTGAGGGTTTCCTTTACTTAGCAACAATCCAAGAACCAGAAAACAGGTAAGAAAGTTCTTAACATGCTGGGGCTTTGAATCCACTTTTCCATCTGTTATTAAACAACTATAGCACACTGAGTCTCTGGGCTAAAAGTGCAAAAATGGAAACTGATGAAGAGTTATTCCTACAGATGATATTAAAGAAAAAAAAAAAAAAGTGCTGAACTGGAAATACGGTGGATGAATCAGTATGAGGCCAAAATAAGTATTTGTGAAAATTCCACTTCAGTGCAACAAGGAAGTTTTCAGGCAGTGTAAGTTTGCTAGGCTGCAAATCCACATTATGCATGCAATCTCTAAGGCACAGCAAACAGTAGAAGACTATGCAGAGATACTCAGCAAGATCTAAAAAGCTTTGGCTTAGGTACAATAAATAGTATAGGTCTTTCATGTATCACTTTGCCTGAACCTTGCTTCATCTTATTCTTTAGACAGAGAATATAGGGTTGAGTGCAGAATTTTGATGTGTAAGAATTCTGAAGAGAAAATTGATGGCCCAGTGGGACACAAGAGTTTTCTATGGAAAGGGAAACCCAAGCATTTTTAGAAAAGTGTGGAAAAAGAAC